TGCTCTTGAGGCCTTTTCTATTTTTAAATTTTAAGTCACAGATGTTTAGTTTAGACATAAGGGTATATCTAATCACGCTTTAAAAGTGCCAATTTCTATATATATATATTTCTATATATATTATAACAAATATATTTATTGGCATCGGTTTTTCTGATACATTTACAAATGTTTACCCAACAACCCCAAATAAAAGAAAGTTACCAGCCATTATCATCCTAAACCAAGTATTTAAGTGAATATACAAATAATAGTTTAAACAAACATCTAAAAAGAAAATGTCAAGTTAAATACATAATTAAATCAGAATGATGCATTGTAGGTTTTAATAGTGAGTTATTGTGAGGTAAACAAGAGGCTTTATATTACATTTAGGAATTTCCTCCATTGTGCCACTGGCTCTATGATGGAGGAGTGAGACATGCAGATGCTCACCAGACTCGTTGTGGTGTCTCCGCAGGTTTTATCGCCCACTCCCTTCGTCTGCTACTTGACCTTTGGGGTGCCTATTTCTCTTTCCTTTCCCCCACATCCACTGTCAATTCCACTCTTTAATAAGATGAAATGCTATAAATGTCATCAGCTTAAAATGAAATTATTAAAGGTCATCTCCATAAACAGTTTGAACCTCCTGGGGCAACCGGGATCTAATCATTTCTTGGGGAATGATAAAGAAAAAACGCAATATGAAATGATTTCATTTGATTTCTAACTTTGGATTTCATTGTTTTCAGGAAAATCCTGCCTGCCTGCTGATTTCTGACTTGACTGTCTACATGTTACTAAATTCATTAATTTCTTTGTATGGTTATTTATTTATTTGTTTCCTGCATTTTCTTAAAGACACGAGACAGCCACACAAAACAATAACATCCCATGACAAATCATAAAGTACAGCTAAATCTGCATTACATAAAGTAAATGTCCTTTTATAAAGGTCAAAATACTCAGTACCAACTTAACATGTGCCAAAAAGAATCAGTATTTGGTCAGCATCACTCAAGGTATGTATATATTTGCAGAGACAGAAGAAAAACAATTATATCCTTAAAATGAAATGTAAATGTCAGTAAAATCATTCAGAGTTGAGATATCTCAAAGAAAATATAACGTGATCATTTTCAGGAGACATACCATATCTTCTGCCAAGACACTGTGCTCACACAATGTTTGGAGAGGTGCAATCCAACATAAAAATGAATGATAGGATTGAGAATAAGTGTGATGCTCTCTCAAAACCAAATGGAATCTTCTTAACCAGGTGTTTATATTGTGTAGTCCAAGAATACATGTGAGCATATGAATGTATCAAATACAAATTAAAAGGATACTGGGGGAAATAAGGTGCGTTACAATCATAAATATAAATCTGCTTCTTCAATGTATCTTTTCATATCAATAGACAAATGCTGACAATGTAGGCATTATTGCTCAAAAAATAGCTAAACAGTCTGAATAAAGAGGCAGTACGTTATAGTTTTCCAACACTACAATTATTGAGTTAGGAAAGGTCATGACATTTGTTCAGTTTTGTGTGCAAGTCCTGGAATACCAGACAATATTACACTCTCTACGAAAAGTAGGGCAGCACAGTTTCACATAAAATAAGTTCAAACACGAGAGGAGTTAATCACAATTGGCAGTGAAAAATCGAATGGAGAGCAACAGTAAAAAAAAGGTGTATGAGAGTAGGAAATACGGGTCTCCCTGGTGGAAGAGCTTTGACTTCACCCGAGAGAATCATGAACATGTTAGAGCCAGAAAACAACCTGTTCACACAATCTGAGCGGCAGAAACAAACATATCAGACAGGAGAGGCCGAGACCTGAATTACTAACCAGCTGTGTAACCACTGGGGTTGTCATAGCAACCAGGTTTAGAGACCGCATGGCGGTTGTGGATCATGGGAGCTAGAACTTGTATAAACTGTAGGTGTGCTGAAAATAAACGCACATTTACTTTAACTTGTGTATTGTTATTCAAACATTCAAACTAACCTTAAGGCACATCTTGTTTTACAGACGGTCTCGCCCCTGACAATGTTAACCTTTGACCCCGACCTGCGATGCCTGGCTTAGCGTGTCGTCCTGCCAAATGTCGAACCCCCTGACATATTGATGCCATATGAAGAGAGCTCAGGGTCAGTGCATGAGAAGGTTGGATGTAATATTTATAGGCTGACCTTTACTTCACCCTGCGGCGACTAGTCTTAAAGAACTGCATGTTCATCTGCCCAGAGCATTGTGGGAACTCAACATTTCTCAGGTTTGAATCCCACCTATGACTCATGTTGCCCATTGTCCCAAGTGTAAGGGTCACTCTTGGACTCATATTGGATTAAGAGGTAAATTAGACTTTTGTTTGATTATTTTCTCAAAACCAACAATGAATGTATCCTACTAACAAATAGTGTATACACAGTGCTCTGTTGTTGTCAGTAAACTATTAAAAAACACAACAATGAGCCACACTGTTGCACTTGGAAATATTACCCAAAACATATAAACACATGCTTATTCAAACTCAATTCCAAATTCCAAAAATATAGGGACAAGATGTTGTAGGGTTCGAAAATAAAAAATGTGTAAATAAAATGTTATATTCATTTTCAGTAAAAGCCACTAAGTTTGTAGATGAGAGCCACAGACAGGAAGTCACAAAATAGTGAGGGACAGACTACGACACTGATTGCTTTTGTGTTTTTATGGAAAATTGCTGACTGTCAGATAATAACAACAGCTAGTTCATATCATACTTTTAAATTGACCGACCATGCCCTTGTACATCTGTACCTGAGCAAATGCCAAATTAAAAGACTTGAATGTTTATTATGTTTTTTGCCACAAAAGGCGTGGCATCGTGAAACAGGTTCAAAATAGCATAATAAGCACTTTATGTAAAGAACACAATCACAGCTATATGAAAATCCAATCCTAACACAGGAGACACTTTTAACCGTAACCAGTAGACTGGGTTGGTAATCCCTGAGGAAAAGGACTGGAGAGATGACTTGCACCGACTTGAAGGGCCAAGAGGTAATGAGAGTGCACATGTTTCATGATGGACAATGGATGTGTTTTTTCTGCATACGGCTGGGATTGATAAGCAAAGGTTATTTGTCATATTGCCATTGACACTCTTCCAATCTATACTTGTCAGTTGGGCCCGGTCATGTTGCTTAATTAATAAACTGCCCTGCCTACACCATAAATAACAGACTAGACAGATGTTGCTACATTGTGTTCCAACAGCACATCGACAGAGTATAATGGATGTGAATTTTGATCTGTGAGAATCTAGGCCTGCAGTCTGATTATCCAAGAATAGACTTAGATAGTCTCTGTGCAGGATACACAGGAGAGTTCAGAAATCAGGCTATCAATCAACATCACAACATTTGTCCTCGTCTCTTTTTGGTTCGGTTGAATAAAAATGAATGACATCCTTGTTTACGGAGTGTTAGGTTTCGCATGGATTTGGCGATTTATGAGGCTAAACGTGGATGTCTTATAAATGATGTTGTAATACAGTATTCAACCAAATAGCAATGTTAGCATCGACCTCTGGAAATGTTTTGACCTTAACTTGTTTATCAGGATTAAAAAAGAGTGACAGTATATACTTTCTCATATAAATGTTTTATGTTCATTGTTATTCTTTTCTGCTACTTCAGGACTTTTTGCTACATGACCAAACATAAATATGCTGATTATGATTTAATCCATTTTATTGCAAAAACGTGCAGCTGCAGGGGAGTGCAGTGTTTGCTCTAAGTGCTCCTTGATTACAACACTCAGAGCCTGAGCTTCATGGAAAGATCACCCAGCAGGCCTACAGCTATCACAGAAACACAAGAAACACACAGCAGAAAGTGACAAATGATATTCAAAACTACTTTATATCACTCGTACTTTCATAGATAAGTAGGTCATTCATTACTTTTAATACCAATGTTATCTGCTTATCAGAATTCTTTATTGATTTCCTAATGATTACTTTTTTTGTTCTTTGTGGGGACTTACAAATTAGTTTTTGCAATGCGCAACTATAACAACAACTTAAATAAACAAATAACAAAAACAATTTGAAACGAGTTCTCAGCTGAAACAGATTTTTGCTTCCCAATTCCAGAGATGAGTCTAATGATTTGAGTAGGCCTACTAAATAAAATGTACTGCTAGGGACTAAATAATGTCCACCCCTAGTTATCTTGTGAAGCTTTAGTAAATTATACAGGTGTAAATAGGACTGTTGGCAGAGAAAGCTACATGACATAATGGGATAAAACCATAAGGCATCTTGACATTTCCTATCCACCTCCCCAGTGTGCTGTGGTTCACGTAGCAGTGGCTCCACAGCATCACATGACTATTGGTGTCAAACACTGAACATGAGATAGGTGGGAGGGGGGTGGCGGGGGGCTTGAGTGGTGGTCTGGTTTTGGACTGAGTACCAGTACAAAGATTAGATACAGTGGAAGCATCAGACAGACTTCAAACTAATGAATGCTCAAGTGCCAATAGCTTCTATTTCTTAATCAATGGGACTACATTAAATCGGGTTCTTGCATGTACATTGATGACGCTAAAGCGATGTAAAATAGTACTACTATGATATGTAAATACGTTTATTTTGTAGGTTAGTTAGTTGGGTTAGTCTTTTTTGACATATGTACCTGTTGCATTGTTTTTTATATTACACAATGACCTGAAATCAACCCCTAGGTACTGTGTGGTAGGCCGTTGTCGCTGAGCAACTGTGCATCTCCTCCGCTGGAACTACTTTTATTTGCGGAGGTTTGATTTTTATTAAAATAGGCCGTTATAAAACATCCAGTCGAAATAAAAGTGGTTTTACCGGAGTTCAAATGGGTTTGGTACTGTTGTATCACTCATAGACGGCGCATTAACCTCTGTAAACTTCTTGTCTCGTGGTTTAAATAAATTATTTGACAGGCAGCTGCATGGGACCTTGAAATTGTGAGGGGGGCGTGCCCGGCCGCGCGCCGCGGAGATAAATTCGGGGGACACCTCGGCTCGTCCCCCGCTCTCTCTCCCCCCTGAGGACTGACAGACTGAGGTGCCTTCACAAACGGTACATTTACCTCTTCTCGTTTCCAGTTTGAATTAAGTTGTCAACACTTTTGAATTATGAGAGTTAAGCTGTAATTTTGATGTGACACACTGTCAAAAAACGGACATTTCTGGGACCTCATTTTATAATTGCTGTCATTTGGTTTTCTAACTCGTCTGCATGTTGCTTCTATAACTTTTAAATAGCTTAAAAGTTCGAAGTATTTGTCAAGTAGTGCAATACGTTTTCTGTATTACTTTTTGCAGTTTTGCATGATGCCCAGTTTTGTGTTGCTTTTGAAGAAAAATGCATTAAATGTGTCTATTTACCTTTCAGTGACGACTAAGACCATATCAGACAAAATGGTGAAGATTGGAATCAATGGGTGAGTTAGTGTTTTTAGATTTTAGTCGCTATCATCATTTGCAAAACATTATCTCATTATTTGTCACCGTCTCCACTGGCATGCATTAGTCTCCAGAAAACAACAACAATCACTGAGTGCAGTATAATTTGTATGGCTCTGGAAAACCTAAAATGGGATGGTAAATAAGCAGATCTGTAAGGAGGAGTATTTGCAAACAAATAAGGTGGCTTTTATTAATAAATGTACATGAAATAGGACAAGAATGCAGATAAGTAATAGGAAAATAACTTTCATAAATGTAACTTGATAAGGGGCAATGACCTTTTAAGCTGCAGGTTATGGTCTCCTGCAGTGTGTCTGATGTTTGCTGAAATGCTGCAGCATACACAACCTCTCCGGTTTATTGGACATTATTAATTAACAGGCTTGTTATTTTTCTTAGCTGCGTTTCTATTCAGAGCAGTGTGATAAGAGGGCAAGTGACAACCCTTCATTTCCTAAATCACTCATATAATAAGCATCCAGTTGCTGGCAGTATAAAGGTCTTCCATCCTCAGGACCCCGACACTGTTTCTGAGACCCTCGAATTATGATCTGTGCTGAGAGATTGTATTTTAATTAAAAGAGCATAATAGAGTCAGTTGAAAAGAGGATTAAATCATATACAATTATTTTTCTCTTAAAGATTAAGTCATTTATTATTTGGGCATCTTATAAAGAACATGTCAATTAATGACATCACGTACAATATATACATGACATGCCAAACAACAGCGCAGTATTATAACTTTAGAAACTTATATTATATTAAATGTAATAAATGAACAGTGAAATGAAAAGTGATGTTATTCGCCCTTTATGTGAGACTCCTTCTCTGACTGGTCAGAGCTCTGGACAGGACCCGTCTATTCTCTGGTTATTTATAGTCGGGGTGGTGTTGTGTTGTCACGGTTGTCGTCCCCTCTTCTTCCACACCCCCCGTCAGACCCCCTCCGATCCCCCCTCTGTCTGTGCTGCTGCCCTCCTCAGCTGTCACATTCCTTTTTATTCTCCACTCGTCTATTTTTAACCCTCTAACCTTTCCGCTGAAGTTCAGGGATCATCCGGCCGGAGGTTTATAGGCGCTGCTCACTCTTTGAGATCTCCAGTTAAACATTGCCTCCTCCTCCTCCTCCTCCTCTGTGAAGCAGCTGCTGTGGAGCTGCAGGAGATTTAGCTCCTTGATTCTAGCCATCTCTGAGCCTCAGAAACTGAAGATGGGCTCCGGTCCATTTTGGCCTTGTGGCTGCATGGTGGCTTCCAAAACTAACCAAGGGAAGCTCTAGTGTCCACTGGCCCTTTCCCCTCATGTCCATTCTTCCTGTGAAGGAAGGCAGACATGTAAATTAATCGCATGGGGTTTACTCCCTTGAATAGACATTTAATCTGGCTGTTAGAAGTACTCCTGCTGCTGCCCTTGAGCAAGGAAGCACTATAGTTGAACCCATGGCCCTGCACTGTGGCGTTCCACTGCTACTAAATAGTTATTATGGTTCAAAAACAGAGGAAACCATTTTTTTAAGTCCAGTTCAAAGCAGTTATATTGTGTATTGTCATTCAATTACCAGATATGTCCGACTTTTGGAAATAAACTGATCAGACTGTGAGAGTGCAAACTTCTCCTTAGATAAATCATCAAACCGAAGAAAAACAGTCGCTTCAGTTTGAAGTTAAATGCATGTTTTTCTTTAATCGGCAATCCCCTTTTTTCACCTTTCTCCAGATAACTCTCACAGCCTTACTATGGTATTTAGTAGAACTCAAGAACAATTCGTTTTCCTGACAAGGAGAAGATAAAGTCAATGATAACATATTATAGTAAGCACACAAATGCAGACAATAATCCAAGATTATTTGGATAAAAAAGGTCCATTAAAGATTGCAAATATCCAGAATTGATTCCAAAAATGAAAATAGAATTGTAATAATACTCCCACCATCAGTGACAACCTTGTTACTGGAAACTCTTTGAACTCCCCGGTGCACCTCTCTAGTTCAGATAGAGACTGTTATTTTGGAGTATGTGATTGTCTGAGTCTTAGAGTTAAGTTTCAATCTGTCGCATGATTACTTACAGTAATGTGACTCCTGAGTGCTGGAGCCATGTGACCTTACATAACAGGGCTCAGTCTGAACATGTGAAGCAGAGACTGTGTACCACACTGTGGAGGCACTTGTTATCCCCACTGCCCCCTGTGAGTGCCATTGAGCAAGGCTCTAACCCCCCTTACTACTTCCCCCTACTATCAGCTTGATTATTATACATAGACACTTGCTGCTACACCAAATAGTCTCGTATGCTGTTATTGGGACACATTGGGCTGCAGCTAGCAATGATTACAGTAATCGGATAAAAAGAAATACTTAAACAAAGCCTATGACTTTTAATAATCAGGTTATTATAAGTTGATTGACGAATAGTTATTGCCCTATAACGACACAATGACTTCTGGTACCGTCAGACAGATGTGCACGTAGTGGAGTTGCAGGGCGTTTGCTAGAATTTCCTAATCAGCCAATACAGAATCTAGCTTTTTTTTTTTTTATGTAATCCAGTTATGAATTAGTTATTTGCTTACATTTGCATATTGTTAAGTGAGGTTTGTTCCACCTGGAAGGTTTTTTCAGTAACGAGAATAAATGTAACTAAAGGAAAGTGCCGCAGCCTCGCCCCTTTGCTCTTACAGTATAAAGGTCAAACCGTATGTTAATATCAGATTTCCATCATGTAGTTTTACGCACAAACAACTATTACCAGCTGAACTTTACTGTTTGTGTGGCAACTCTGCTCTCTGGACATAAATTCACTTGTATTCCTTTATTAGCATTAAACTAAGCACAGGTTGAGCTTGGTCAGTCAGACAGTAGAATCAAAACCAAATGGCAGCATCTCCATACTAAGTGGCCATTGATAGTCAGATGGAGGTTGTATACATGCTTTTTTGTATTAAAGGTCCCATGACAGCGAGACACCGCTGTCTCGCAGACCCCACGCAGCAACCAGGAAACGACACCAGTAACCCAGCTCACACTGTCCGCTCCTCGAGCCTCAAAGGGCGGAGCAGCGACCCCCCGCAACGTCCCGCCAACACGGCACCCAGACCCCACGCAGCACTCTCATCTGTTTGACATTACTGGTGTCATTTTCTGGCTGCTAACAAACGCCATTGTAAAACATAATCACTGATGTTCCGCTGTAACGGTGGTGGACTCATCAGAACAGAGTGGGCGAGCTGACCAATCAGAGCACAGTGGGCTCACAGGGAGGGGGGGGCAGGAGCTCCAACAAGCCGTGTAGGACAGAGAGAGAATACACATACTATACAGAGATGCTGTATGAGAAACCAATGTGAGTTTGGAAAATTGAACAATGTAAATCTATTCTATTAGACCTCAACAATGGAATTATGATCAGTAGAAATGGCCATGACATGGGCCCTTTACATTACATTACATTACATTGCAGTCCTTTAACATTAGGACTGTGTCATGTCTTCCTTTTTACATCCCTTAAACATCACCTGCCTTCAGGCACTACATTGCGTTACTCATCACATGTTCCCTTAAGCCACAGTGCACTTGGACAGTTCTCCTGCAGTGCATTTCTATTTAACTGCTAATATGTGACCTTTAAAATTCATTCAGTGTCTGGGAGTTAACATCGCCCTTCTCCACACATCCTCCTCCTCCTCCTCTCTCCTCCAGCGAGATGAAAGGAAGAAATTCCTCCTCTCACGCTCTTTTAGATGATCACTCATTATGAGAGCCCCGCTGTTATCTCTTTCTTCCAGTGAAGTGGTTAATATGAAACTGTGTCCTAACATCCTCTGCTCTCTGGTTTCAGTCCCCTCGCTGTTTGACATGCTGTGACGGCAGCCATATTAGGCGTAAACAGGCTTTCATTTGCCGGTGCCAACCATTGTTATCTTCAGTCAAGGTTGGCAGGCCTTGTATGGCCCTGCTGTCCTCCACTGTCACTCTTAAGTTAGTCTTTCAGTGCCACCTTCTGGTTGGCCAGAGGCAATGTGGTATGAGACCTATGGAGCAGTCTTGCACAAAAGCTGCTCTAAATAAAAACAAAACATAAAAGAGGTTTCGAAATTATTCGATTTGGACGCGTCAAGATTGGCCTGAGGGATTTGAACTATTTTAAGAAAACTATAATAACATTAAAAAATAATAATAAATATAGTAAAATAAAATATAGCAGTATTTACATTGAAATAGAATGTAATAAAATATGTGCAGTAATAAAATATGTGCATTTGCTTAAGAGATTTTTGTGATATATAATCTTGTTTTATTTATCCATTCTTCATGACCTGTTGACCTTACAGTCAAATAAAAGGGTTTTCCTCTTGCTGCCATTTTGCTAAGTTTTCCCTTCTCTACCTCTTTAGATTTGGACGTATCGGCCGTCTGGTGACCCGCGCCGCCGCCACTGGAGGCAAGGTGGAGGTCGTGGCCATCAACGACCCCTTCATCGATCTGGAGTACATGGTGAGAAGACCACCTGTACTCCATTTTCCTCCTGACAGTTTGTCATGATCATTTTTGTATTTCTCAAAGCCTTCCAAAGTCCACTCAGGGTCAAGTATAGTTTCGGGGACCGAGTTTAGTCAGAAATTCATATTTGGGTAATAAGAGGTTACAAAACAATGGGCTTTTAAAGCATTAAGAAAAGACAGAGGGCTAGTACAAAGGTTTGAAAGCCTACCTGTGGAGAAGCTACATGTTACAACTACACTTCAGACCCTGCTTTTAAAAAAAACGTTATATATATATTTTTTTTAAATACTGTTGGTCTTTTCCTGTTAGAATCAGGTGTTCATAGCTTTGGTTTTAAATGTTCCTCTTCTATCTGCCTGCAGGTCTACATGTTCAAGTACGACTCCACCCACGGAGTGTGGAAGCACGGAGAGGTGAAGGCAGACGGCGGCAAGCTGGTCATCGGCAACATGAGCATCATGGTCTTCCACGAGTACGCACACTGTTAGATTTACATTTCTTTCAGCGTTCTCCCTATGAGTGTGTGACCAGCACAGTCTAACCTTTCCAATGGGTGATCTATTTACACAGGAGGGACCCCGCCAACATCAAGTGGAGCGATGCTGGGGCTGACTATGTTGTGGAGTCCACCGGTGTGTTCACCACCATCGAAAAAGCATCTGTAAGTTTACCATCTGCCTCCCACTTATTTCACTGGGAGACGGTTATAAGGACAGGAAGTTACAGCGAGAATGTTTTAAATAGTTGAGAATGGACAAAAAAATGATACAAATGTATTTTCATCTGTTTGTATATCAATAGAGTAACAAACATTATGCTGTTTTGGCCTGCAACGCCAGTTTTATATATATATTTTTTTTTCAGTCTCTTCTTGTATTTCAATAGTGTAAACTGTAGAAGGTGACATACACTTCATTTACAGTCAAATGTTTCATTCTATAGCATGCAGGGAATTACAAATGACTGTTTTATAGAAATTATGATAACTTTTTAAGCTACATCATTTCTAGTCTTAATTCAAATGAAATAAATGTTATAACATTTTTCCTTTGACCTCTGACCTCTTTTGTGTTCCTTAGGCTCACCTGGCCGGCGGTGCTAAGAGGGTGGTGATCTCCGCTCCCAGTGCCGACGCTCCCATGTTCGTCATGGGCGTCAACCACGAGAAGTACGATAACTCCATGAAGGTTGTCAGGTGAGTCTCCACCTTTCTTACACATTATCCTAGTTCTAATCGAAGCTTTCATTTATATTTCTGACCTCAAATGAGGACTTTAGATGCTCTGCCAATGAGACACAAAAGTCAAACCAAGCTCATCTCCTAAAATAAGCTCTGAGTGTATGTGCAGTAATACCTTAACTTTGTGTCGTTGGTTAAATGTAGTCTCCTTCTTGTTTCCATAGCAACGCCTCCTGCACAACCAACTGCCTGGCTCCCGTCGCCAAGGTCATCCACGATAACTTCGGCATCGTTGAGGGTCTCATGGTAAACAGCTCAGACATTCTAATTGAATACAATCTGTTATTGATGAGCACTTAAGGATGAATGGAAAATAGTTTGAAAATTACATTTGAAGATATCTGGTCACAGTTTGAACTAAGTATTTAAAACATAAAACTGACTGTTTTTGTAATGACTTTATGTATTCCTTTTTTTAAATGATTTTCTAATTGTATAGCCCTTACTTAGAAATGCTCATTTCCAAGTAAGGGCTATACAATTATAAAACAAAGTTCTCGTAGCGCAAAGTGATGTTCTGTGATAGGATTACTTGGTGTAAGCTGCAGCCAAAAAGCCAAGGAAAACACAACATGTTTTGCCTTTAAAAAGCTGAAACTAGCAAACTTTTTTTTAAATTAAATCATCATCACAGTGTTTTATTAACCAATATTTTTCTGGGAAATTGTATTTCCTAGAAGAGCCAAAATGTTTAGACTAGCTTCTTTCCACAGCTAAAACTCACTAACTTGAGGATTTCTTAGATCACTGTTAAGAGTATCGGTAAAATGTTGTTGTTTAATAGCTTGTAGCTAGGAAGTTAAAAATGCTTCCCTCTGCTCCCTCTCCTCAGAGCACAGTCCACGCCATCACGGCCACACAGAAAACCGTAGACGGCCCCTCCGGTAAGCTGTGGAGGGACGGGCGCGGCGCCTCTCAGAACATCATCCCCGCCTCCACCGGGGCCGCCAAGGCCGTGGGCAAGGTCATCCCCGACCTCAACGGGTACGAGCAACTTTTAAATCATTTTATATAGGGTTGTGACCAGGGTTATCACTGTTAACTGAAACTAAATAATGAAGACATCCTTGAAGAAAAACTACAACTAAACTGATGCTCCCAAACTCCCTTGCTAAGTGAATCTAAGCTACGAAGAAATTGAAACATCCAAACAAAAATAATTGAAAATAGAGAACAATTAAAACTTTGGTTGTGACTTTAGGAAACAGCCGTCAACCAGGAGGACATTTAATGTATGTATGTATGTATGTATGTATGTATGTATGTATGTATGTATGTATGTATGTATGTATGTATGTATGTATGTATGTATGTGAGCTACACGATGATCCCATTGATAAAAAGTGGCAGGTCCCCACACTCTAGAAATATTTCATAAAAGTAGGCAGCACATGCAAAAACGGTTTGCATTGAGGCTGATCATATACTGTATGGGACGGACCAGAATTAAGTGTTGACATTTTCTAGCTGAGTTCGACTTTTCACCTTCCTTTGGAGGAGATCATCAAGGAGACGTCACCAAGGGGAATAAAACAATAATACACAATAATCTGTTTTGATGTTTTTACTTTATGTCTGATTGTTGACAGTCCTGTTTTTACAGCAAAATCACCGGTATGGCTTTCCGTGTCCCCACCCCCAACGTCTCCGTCGTTGATCTGACTGTCCGTCTGGAGAAGCCCGTAAGTATCTTCTAACTTGTATTAAATATAAAGGTTTAACCAAGTGGCTGCTTAACTTTGGAACCAATATACAGATGAAAACATTAGTTTTCAGCTATTAACTAGATCCCACATCTTTATTTTTGACTGTACGTTTGGGGTCGGAGAGGAAGAAAACTTGAGCTCAACCATCCACTGAATTTCCATACATTTTTATTCATAACACTCTGTAGCATTGAGGCATAATTATGTTACTTAGACTTAAAGCTTTAAAACCTTTAGTTTAAATTAATCAAAATATCTCGCCCTTCAGGCCAAGTACGACGACATCAAGAAGGTGATGAAGGCCGCTGCTGAGGGACCCATGAAGGGAATTCTGGGATACACAGAGGACCAGGTACGGATAAATGTCTACATTGACGTCTTTGGGTTCAAGAAAAGCGCTATAGAAATAAAATGTATTATTATTATTATTATTACATATTCTCTTACTATGTTTAATTATAGACGTGTCTGAACATAACAAGTCTAATGCAATTTGTATGGGTGTGTGTATAGCAATACAAAATCCACTAGATGTCAGCATACAGTATCTATTCCGCTACGATATGGTCTCAACTTAATTAAGAACTCATAAGGTATATTTAAAGTAAAAAGAAAACTATTTATAATCCATAAAGCCAGATCTGCAGATATTTGTAATGACTTATTCATCCCTATGTTGCTGCACGGCCTGCCTTGTGCCACTTTTATCCAGGACCAGAAATGACATACTGATGAGTTTATGTCCGACACAAATCTGTATTTACTGTCCCCCTGCATGTATAAACATTTGTGTTCATCTCTTTCTGCTCAGGTTGTGTCCACAGACTTCAACGGCGACACTCGTTCCTCCATCTTTGATGCTGGCGCCGGCATTGCACTGAATGAGCACTTTGTTAAGCTGGTTTCATGGTGAGTTAAAACACACCAAAAATAGGACATGATTCTCCATTCATAAATATTCTATAATATATGCAACTTCAATCTCTGCTCACTGTTTGTCTGCAGGTACGACAATGAGTTTGCATACAGCAGCCGTGTGTGTGACCTGGTCCTGCACATGTTCTCCAAGGAGTAAAGTCCTGTCAGGAGTCACGACTCGTAGTTTCCTTCCCATGATTCCCTCATGCTTCACCTATGCAGTACCTGGATGTTGTGTCACCTGCCCAAGGAGCAAACATCTTCCTCAACAAACGTCTAGATGATAATATAAATAATAATATTCATAGATTTTTATATGATAAAGTTGCCTCTGCTCTGTCCAGCAGTGAAGTCTGCACTAAGCAGTGTTTGTGGAGAGGATTTTCCATCACTGAACTGTATTGTACTGAATGGTCTTGTTGCACTTGACACGATAATAAAGTCCTCAGTTTGTGAAAGAGTTTTTTGTAGAGTGCATCTCTCTCTCTAGACATATGTTTATTTGTAATTATTGTAATAAATAAAAATCAGTGGGCTATTTTAAAATCCCCATCCAGGACCCTAAAGCTGTTAATCTAGTGCCCAGACAAATGACTTTGAGTTTGGTGCAGAATACAAAATTAATAATTTCTGGGATGGCGGCAAAAATCTAGTCAGGAAGGCAGAAGGAGAGTTAGGAGAAAGACATACAGGAAGTGTAGTTTTCTGGGGCGACATGTCACTCTTGATCATTTTATATAAATAATGTGTCTCACTTATTTACCTCTGACAATTGATAATGACAGTCTCACCCCTCCTCAGACTATGAGGGTGGTTTACACGTCATTTTAAATTCATACATTTGTATTGCAACAAATAGATTTGTATCTGGAAATGTCTATAGTCCTATATGTTGTATAAAGGGTAGCCTCGTGTAAAATTAAATTAAAAAACATTTTGACATGTTAAATCAAAGATTTAAATGTCCAATTTCCTGGGTTTACAAAAAAGTTAATTGCTTTCCTTTCATTGCCTGTAGTCGATTTTAGCCAAACTTAATTTAAAGAAGTAGCTGTTAAAAACAATTTTAATCCAGGATCTTACAGCTTTTTAGTTGGAGCTGTTGATACCGGCCCAGGCAAGTGCCATTGAGTTTATTTCAGAATATCCAATTAGTATTAGGGATAAATATAATCAGCTGGCCAGTGGCAACGATGCAAAGAGGCGGAGGAGTGGAGGGTTACTGGGTAAAAAGGGAAACAGGGAGGAACACCTCCAATGTCTGACAACTGAAATAACTTATTGTCACAAAAGCCCAGAAAGTTAATGAGTCAGAACCATTTTCATATTTCTTTTGATAACCTTTTTCAAATGTATTGGCTGTTAAACGTAAAAAGGATACATTTCATTGTTGCAATATAGTGAATAAGAAATTCAGAATGCTAGCTTAAGTTTACTTGTTGTAATGCAAAGTGTTTTGTAGTAACTAAACATGTATTAAGAAGGATGGGTGATTTGTGTGAGAAGGTTAATTGGTTACCAATCAAGCTAAAATCCTGTAAACATTATTCATTTGTGCTACATAATGCTTCCTTGATGGAAGGAGTTAGCAAATAGTTTATTCAGCTGCAACCACTGTTAAGTCTGGGAAAGATCATGGATATTTCTCTTTAACATTTTTATTTTAAAACACTTTCTTTTATGTAACGTTACCATCCATTGACCATATCCAGGAAGTTTTAAATCCCCCTGGGCTGCTTTACCACAGGTGAACCTCTACTTTAGTCACTACGGTATCTGAGCCAGACTGCACACTGATCACTGCTCCTCTTCCACAGTCAGTCCGGTAAGTGAACGCATCATTCAGTCACTTGTGTTTATCGCTGAGCTCTGCTGCACCGCTGCTACACTCTCCTCGGACTCACTCACCTCATTATCTGGTGCCAACGTTAATGCTTCCTCCTCGATCTGGCAGGTGCGTGCATTTTGGTTGTGGCTTCAATATATCTCCTTAGCGCTTTATTCTAGGGGCTTAGAATAAACAGTTTGTGATAGTGCGCGTCGCCACTGAGATCTCTCGACTAGAATTTAGTCCTGCGTAAAAGTAAACTCAGTCATCTTATTTTGCTGCAGCAACCAGCGGTGTGTCTGCGAGTTTAGAGGCTTCTATTTGTACTTTATAATAACATTTATACTTCACAGCTCATCGCGATAGGTTTACTATAATATCCTATTGGGGGGTTGTTATTTTCCTGCGATTTTAGACCCGTAAAGAATCATTTTTAACACCCGTCATCTGACTTTAGGCCACAGCTCCTCTGCGTAAAGGTGAGCATCTGGTGTGACCAGTAAGGGGGGCAAAAACAAGGCAGCTGGGCCTCACTCCGGTTCGGGACTATAATCAGTTTATAGACAAAACAATTTGAACGGTTGAAGATCGACTGCAGAAGTCTGGGTTCATGCCGGATTTCGAGCACTTCAGATTTTCCTATTCGAGCATGAATCTGGCCCTGGGGGAGAGCGGCTTCCTGGCCCCGCAGCAGCACCACCACCAGATGCCGGGCCAGAACGACTCCGCAATGATGGAGCCGGGCTACTTCCTGGGGGACCACGGAGGCTTCGGGCCTGATGGGTTGTCCGGGCTGGACCTGGGCTCCTTACCGCCGTCGGGCCTCACCTACCTGCACCTGAGCAACCCCTTGCACCGCGGACCCCCCGCGGCCACCGCGCTGCGCAACGACCTGGGCTCCAACATCAGCGTCCTGAAGACCCTGAACCTGCGCTTCCGCTGCTTCCTGGCCAAAGTGCACGAGCTGGAGCGCAGGAACAAGGTGCTGGAGAAGCAGCTGCAGCAGGCTCTGGAGGATAACGGTGGGGGGGATGGACACCAGAAGCCGCAGACTAAAAACATGGGGGTCCAGACTGGATTTATCGGGCCTATCCAAGCCAGACCGGGACTCATCTCGCTCCACAATGCCAACAACTCGGCCTACCTGCCCGGCGGCCTCCTCTCCCCCACCCTGAACCCCCCTCCTCTCTTTGACAACAAACACCTGCTGGGGAATAACCTGAACCCGAGCTCACTGTCCATGGATTCAAACTCCAACCTCACCACTTCCGGCTTCTCCATCAGCCCGGCCCTGAGCCCAATGGACCCTTCCAAAACCTTCACCAACATCAACGAGAAGTACACCTCTCACTCCGGGACGAACACCAACTTCATCACCGCGCCGCCCCCCCGCTTCCTCCCCGGGACGCTCTGGTCCTTCAACCACAGCCGCCGGTTTGGCTCCGGGAGGGAGTCCTGCGCCACGGGCCCCGGGGCCCCCTGGACGCAGCCGGACGGGGTTGGGGTCCAGATCGACACCATCACACCGGAGATCAGGGCCCTGAACAACGTGCTGGCCAAGGTGAAGAGGGAGAGAGACGAGTACAAGAGAAGGTAAGGGTTGTTTTTAACCTTAAAGTGTATCACTGTACACTTTTAACATGACTGGATTGTTTGACTCATAGAATATAATGCAGACATTTTAGCATTCAAGTGTCTGATTTCTGATGCATAGTGTAAACTTTAAGTGACTTTGAGTTTCTTGGTATGGCTTATTTTTGTGGGTACTTTATTGATCCCAAATTGGGAAATGTTTTCGTTGCAGCAGCATAAAAATGCAAACATTTCCCAAATTGGGATCAATAAAGTACATCTTATCTTACCTTAAATCAAGGCATTGCACATAAGTAGAAATTAAAATAAATAAACTATTCTAAAATGTGAACATCTCAAAATAGGAAAAAAAACAGCATTCAAAAGTAGAAAATATACAAGTTGGCTGTGAAGATTATAACACACAAATATGAACACCTGACTAACACTTTAATTAGTTTGCCTTGATATTCAGGGAAATAATAAGTTGGTATTACAATAACAGTGTGATCTTATTGTCATGATCTAACTCAGAGAGATGCTATGGAAATATTGGTCATTTCCTTTATGGGGGTAATTGTGAACAACCCCACACAAGGGAATTCAAAAAGCTGTATAGCTTACTACATTTTCTTTTTTTGATACTATCATCTTCATCCTTTCTTTATGCAGGGATACCTTATTTAAGATTTTCAGTTGCATCTCATCTTGGTTGGTCATCAGCTCTCACCATCATATTTATACTCTTATTTTACACATGTGTTTCAAGAACTTATTTGTCTTGCTTCATGTTGTATAGATGTTCAAAAAGTCTGTCACTGGCAGTGTATTTTATTAGAGCTGATTTTCCACCTTACTGCAAAGGTTTAGCTCCTGCTCCACCATTTATTTTGAGGTTTTTATCCACCAATGGCTCTGAAAAGCTGAAATATAATGGACTGATATGAATGTGTCACCCCACAAGGATTTTGCCACACAGTTTATGCTGAGGTAGCAATCACTTCCTCTGCTTGTATTGAGTCATCGACAGCAGTGCTGCAAAATGCTGAGCAGGCCTGCTGTAAGGCAAGGTTTACATGATTTGTACATTACGTTTATTTCACAGATGATTTTGCCCAAAGCAACCTAATAAGTGCATCCTAGGCATCTCAAAGCAAGGGCATTTAGTATTGCATGCATGTGACATTGATTTGTTCTACTGTAAACAGTTCCTCACTTTTAATGTGCATCTTTGTACTTTAAGGTCTATAAGGAATAGTGGTATTATATATACAGTATTATTGAACCCATATACTTTGTCGCATCTGTTTTACTAGACATAGGTTTGACAGAAAGAACAAAAAAAACAAAGAACAAAATCTTAGTGTGTGCCGAGCATGATGTTATGAATTATTAATAAAGTATGCTATCAATACAAGGCAACTGTTTTAATTTGAAGTGTTTAGGTCTATGACATATAAACCTATGTCTGGTCTGAGAGGGGTTTTGCTCAGCATGCAGTTTCTGTTTTGTTCGCACTGACCTGTTTCACACTTTAACACACTCTGCTGCTTTATGCTAAAAAGCACTGACCTCAGTGCTTTTGCTTCAGTCTGCTGAGGCAGGACGCCACTGCAGGACAAACCTTCAGTCACATCGATTTCAGAACGAGCAACAGCAACACTCTGACCTGGGTGTTGTGCTTTTAAAGGGATCTGGAGATAGAAAAGGTTCACAGTTCCTTCAATTTGGCAACATTTCACAGAGTATGATGCTTTTATAATCTTTACCATACAAAATGAGTTGTAAGCACAAAACAGATCATATAAATAATGCCTTTGAAACAATTACTTTTTATTCCTAAACATTTGCACCTGCTGAAGAGCCGATAAGGGCTTGAAAATAGGCATGTCATTTATTTTTTTATAAAGTTAGACATACTTTAAGGTTACATTGTATGAGTCATTAGGAACGCAGATGTGCACGTCGCTGTAGTTTGTATTTCACATCATGAGGTCATCATAGAGTTGTGATTTTAGGACTTCCAGGTTTCCATTCCACGTGAACAGCTTATGTTAAATGATTAAAGTTGGTCTAATTCAAGTTGGATAATACAAAGATACTCCGCTTAACTCATCAGTAAAAAAAAGATGATCCACTGTATTTTCAAATAATGTGTCTTTTGAAAAAAACCTGGAAATGCAAGATAAAAGTCAACTATAAGTCATTGACACAACCAATCAGAGAGGTTCATTTTGCTGCATGCTCAATTATAGATAAGTTTACCTCATAGAAACCTAATTAAGAATCTTTCAACAGTTTTGATTTGTTGACTCTCGGATTCTGAAATAAAAGATAAACCTAAGATATTCTTAAAATATCCAGGAGCCTTTTGTGTTAATATGTAGGCTGGAGCCATGTCATTTTTAGAACAACAGAAGACATGAGTCCATTATGACACCCCTACGGAGCCCTGGAGGGTTCATAGAGAGAACGAATAAATACAACGAGGCCACGTTTTATTAATTTGTGCGCACAAGATGTAATTTGTGCGCACAAGATGTAATTCGTGGCCTCAATTTCAATAAAACGAGGCCGAACTTTATTAATTTGTGCGCACGATACTACGAGAACCGGCACAAGTTTTTCGTGCGCACAATGCACGTCGATGAGCGCCGTGTCGTCCTACTCAGATTGGTGTTTACTGCACCGTCGTGTCTTTTCGGCCGTGCAGACACCTTCCACTGCCGATTCGACATGTTGAATCAGTAGGCTGTCAGCCAAAGGCCGTCGGCCACAGACATCACTCTGATTGGCTGTTCAGCTAGCGAATCAGTGCATGAGAAGCTAAACGGAAGTGAGGGACCTAAAGAAACTATTAAGGGCAAATCTGAGATTTCATTTAACTCCAGCTCTCGGGAAAGCCCCATGAGCTTCTCGTTGTAGAGTGAAAATGGAACGCACACGCTATTTGTTGTTTGTTTATACCACGCAGTCTGTTCTTCTTCTCTCGGGTATCACGCAGTCTGTNTGACACCAAAGAATATCAAAGAACACGTCCCGAAGGAACGTCGGCTCACGTCGCCTCACGTCGGCTCACGTCGCCTCACGTCGGCTCACGTCGCCTCACGTCGCCTCACGTCGCCTCACGTCTCCAGCGTCTTGGCCATGTGTCGCACTGGAACACACCGCAAANGAACACGTCCCGAAGGAACGTCGGCTCACGTCGCCTCACGTCGCCTCACGTCGCCTCACGTCTCCAGCGTCTTGGCCATGTGTCGCACCGGAACACACCCGGTGTGTTCCGGTGCGACACATGGCCAAGACGCTGGAGACGTGAGGCGACGTGAGGCGACGTGAGGCGACGTGAGCCGACGTTCCTTCGGGACGTGTTCTTTGGTATTCTTTGGTGTCAGTTTGATGTGTAAGGAGCTTTAGCCACACACACACACACACACACACATAAATCTAACTGCCCGATTATTCCCCCTATTACTCATTTTATGAAGGAAATGTCCGGTCACCAGGGTGCATGAGGTGTAAATAACCCAATTTGTGTTCTGTGAAACTGAAAAGGATATGACATTGTTTTTGTTGCAGTTGCATATGTCTTAAATGTAATTTAGGTTAACTTCCTGTTTTATTTAGATGCTTTTATTTTGAAGGTGAGTTTACGCTGTTGACAGGATTAGTGTATTCCCAAGTGAAAGAAATTTGTTTAATCTTAATCTCGATGTAGGCTAGTGCTAAATGCTGTCGGAGTGCACCGGAACGAACGCAACTCTCATAATATCTTCTGAAAACAAATGCGCACGAATTAATAAAACGTGGCCTCGTTTTATTTTTATTTTGTTCTCTTTGAACCCTCCAGGGCTCCGTACACCCCAGACAATTTGACAAAAACACGAAATGGCCTTCTCTAAACTGCCAGGAATAAAATACTGAATCAGATAAAGGGCCTTATATATTTCTGTAGGTAAATTGTCAAATGTAAACTAATTTGACCTAAAGCACTGGAACTTACTCATAAGTATATCCCCTGGTTATTAATCATAGAATATAAACTATGATTTCTAAAAACACCAATTTGACAAAACTAATATCAGAACTGATTTACTTAACACGACCTCCCTGCCCTTGGTTGAAGTCAGAGCTGTGTTTCTAAGGACTTCTGAGAACCAGCAGCTTCCTCCATATCACAACTTTATTATTATCAATCCATTAAAGTGAAAAAAAGAGTGTCTTAATTCAGCTCTGAGTGTTTTGCTGCCTGTGTGTCTGAAGGGAGGAACTGTCTGTCCTGATCGTCCTCACACTGCAGGTTCCCCTCTTCCTCTCCTTTCTTTCCTGCTCTTCTTCTTCCTCTTGTCTTTCTCCATCTCCTCTTCTTCTTACCCTCTTCCTCTCAGCTGGGTTTCTCTGCTACCTGCAATGCAGCACTAGCCTGTGAACGCCAACAGTGATGTCACCCAGTCTGCCTCCTCTCCTCTCTGTTTTATCTCTTACCCTCTGCCTCCCTCTAAGTGTTCTCTCTCTCTGTCTCTCCCTCTCTGCGGCCTTGTTCTGTTTGCTACTGTCCCTGTTGACTCCTCCTCCTCCATCTCCCTCACCCTTCTGCCTGCACGCACCTTGTGTCACCCCCTCCCCCCCTCTCCTCCTCTCTGTCCCATGTGAGCCTCTGCAGCGTCAGCCCAGCACTGACATCATCATCACGCTATCATCCACATCCCCAAACCCCACGACCCTAAGGTTTTATTTTTGTCTTTGATTCAATTCAGTCCAATGAGGCTTGTTTATTCCAATACACTTCTACATGGCAAAAATAAATCCATATGTGATTCAAAACACCATGCATTAGCCTACAGGAGGTAGAGGTTGAATTTACGTCATGCTCTTCATGACACACTATTTGCTGACATCACAGCTCAAGTGTGCAGTGCAGCAGCCCGGTCTCCTTATGACAGGGGAACATCTCAGATAAAACACACAATGGGTAGTGACAATAATGTAAATGTCTTTATTTTTTGGAAGGGCTTTTTGCTAAATGTTTCTTCTCGCATCGTTTTAAAGCATGAGTTTTAGATAAGCCGGCTTCTGTGTGCCCAGTCTAACAGAATGACAACCTGCAGACTCACTGCAGAGCCACGTGTTGGGACTGACAAACAGGAGAGAGCAATACAAAATATCAGCTCTCTCACTGTAACACAATCTGCGCATCACATCTGTGTCTGAGTCCCTCTCTGAATAAACCAGATTTGATGCTATCCTCCTCATATCCAACACAAGTCTCTCTCAGCATGCAGCCTCCCTGTGACTTGTAGTTGAACACAAACATTGGAAATCATCTCAGTTGACATGGAGACAATCTGATCTGAGGTCGTCCCCCAGAGACATGATGTCATCATTTCAAAGAAGCCAGAAGAGCAGAGATGATTTGTTGACAGCATATAAGAAAATGGACCAATTTATTTTACAGAGACACACATTCGATACTGACCTCTACATAGTGGATTGGATGCCAATCATAACATGCAGGTTTACATTAACTGCTGTTTATTTGTGAATGTCATTATACATTTAGTATATTTTTTGGTCTCAGTGACAGTAATCATGTCACATCTACTTTCTACTACTTTTTAGTGCCACAATAATATCTGGCAAATCTCTGAGGTGTAGAGATATTAAACATGGGACAAAGAAGTCTCTGGTGTTGGATCGGTATAATCAGAGACCTTGAGTTTTAGAAACGAGAATCAATTTTACAATAAGATTCAGTCTCTCTGGACCTGGAGTTCATTAGCTGAGAAATATGATGATATGAATGTCTTCAAAGTCTAGGAGTTGTACTTTACTCAGGACAAAAGAGCACCCCTCAGTCGACCAATGGCAATGTTGTGCTACACTGTCTTTGTCTCCTGTGTTACGTTGTTTCGCTTTTATAGATGTACATTGTCCTGAGATCACATTTCATCAGAGGGACAATCAATCAGGAATAATAAGTATTGCATTTCAGAACGCCAGTAGTCCTGCAGTGTAAGGTCGGCCTCGGCCTCGTCACTCTTTGTTATTTCTGTCTTCTCTCCTCAGGGTTACAGCTTGCTCTTCTTACTGTTCGTGCTCTACATGCACACCGCATGGTTTCCTTTATGTAACACCTGCTGAGTAATACTCTCGCTGGTAAGAGGCGCGTTCATGCTGTAGGTCAGTCAGGAGGTAACATGGAGCGTTTGCCTGAAAGCTGCAGAGAGGAAGACCAGGAAGCTTCACAGGCTAAATGTTCCCCCATCTCACCTGACCTGATGATAAGCCAGGAATATTCCACATTAAACTGTTATCTGCTGAGATTCAAATGATCTATTACAATCAAATCATTGTTGGATCTCCTATTGGTTTAGAGGTCAGCTGAAAAATAAAAAAGATACCAAGATAACAAACAGGAACAAATAGGGAAAAAGTACCAACAGTGTGTGGTCATCTTATTCTTTTGTTTTGCTACTTCTTTTGTTTTTGCATATATTGTGTATGTGTGTTTGTAGATGGGAAGAGGAGTACACAGCCAGGATGGACATGCAGGAGAAAGTGGCTGAACTGGAGGAGGTAAGGGGACTTGTGTTGAAAACCTTACTCTATATATTCAATTTTATAAATTAAATGATCAAAGCAGTCTGAGCTGCACCTTCAGTTATCATCTTACTCAAATATTCAGGATGTGTGTGTGTGTGTGTGTGTGTGTGTGTGTGTGTGTGTGTGTGTGTGTGTGTGTGTGTGTGTGTGTGTGTGTGTGTGTGTGTGTGTGTGTGTGTGCAGGACCTGCAGGAGAGCGAGGTGTGTCAGGATGAGCTGGCGATGAGGGTGAAGCAGCTGAAGGCCGAACTGGTTCTCTTCAAAGGACTCGTCAGCAACGTAAGTCTGCTGCCAGCTGTGGTTAGCATCATTTTTCAAATGTTTAAAACTGACTATCGGATTCAGAAATGTAGAAGAATTGTTTTCCCTTTTGATACATTTATTTGTTATGCCTCCATCCAATGGCCTACTGTTTCAAGTTGTCAGAAATGTACACAAATGGAAGAAGTAATCCGTTCTCTCTCCATCAGAACCTGTCAGATCTGGACAGTAAGATCCAGGAGAAAGCCATGAAGGTGGACATGGACATCTGCCGCCGCATCGACATCACCGCCCGTCTGTGTGACGTCGCCCAGCAGAGGAACTGTGAGGACATGATCCAGATGTTCCAGGTATGTTAGGGCTGGTAAAAGGCCTGAAACAAGTCCTCCACCTTCAAACCAACACGCGTCTTTTCAGCAGGTGGCCACGCCCCCCTCCACTCTGAGTGGCCGGTCCAGGAAACCAAGCGGCCAGTCGGCAAAGGGCGGAGACGGAGACGAACTGAGCATGTCCGAGAGCGAGGGAGGCGGGGCTAAAGACGAAGAGTCCTGCAGCACGTCGGCCAATCAGATCAACGAGCAGATGCAGAGGATGCTGAATCAGCTGTAGGTTTCTTTGCTTATAATCACACACTTACTGATGTTAAACCATTTTGATTACATACCGTGTGTGTGTGTGTGTGTGTGTGTGTGTGTGTGTGTGTGTGTGTGTGTGTGTGTGTGTGTGTGTGTGTGTGTGCGCGCGCAGGAGGGAGTGTGAGTTTGACGATGACTGTGACAGTCTGGCCTGGGAGGAAACAGAGGAAACCCTTCTGCTCTGGGAGGATTTCCCTGGATACCCACTGGGAGTGGAAACACAGGGAGAGGTGCGTGCATACTAATCCTGACAAATAGAGTTCAGTTCAGTATTATTCTGAAATAGCTCAAAATAAGATCAGACAAAAACACCAGGCAAAACAAATTCTATCTGATTAACATATTGGGCTTCTACAAAAAGAATGTAAAACAGGTAACATAGTTTTCTGTTTTTACTGTGTTTAGTCACAGAAGCACTTAATTGTTTTACTTTCAAATCATATTGACCCTTATTGAAGCCAACATGAGTGTTATAAGTTAAACCTCTGTCATAAAGTAAATAAAGTACAAGAATAGACTATTTAAATAGAGAATTCATTGTTACCCTCAAGTATTTCATCTTGAATTACTCAAAACCACAAATAGTAATATATAGACTTTTTGCACAACTTTTTATTTTGTATTTTTGTATTTTACTATATATGTTGCATTGTTGGAGGAGCTCAGGTCAGAAGAATGTCATTGCCATTTCTGCACTGTAGCGTTGTGCATATGACAATAACACCTTTGAATAGTGAAACATATCAACATTAGAGGAAACTAAACCCTTCAGCAGTTTTAATGCGTGCTGTGACGCTCGGTGTTCCCTCTCCGTTCAGATGTCCCCTGTCCCCTGTCCCTCTGTCCTGACCTGATGCACTGTGGTGTTTGAGTTCAGTCTGGTGACGCTCCAGTCTTTCCTTGTGACCTGTAAGCCGTTTTTAACCAGATAATTCAAAGAGGCTAAGGACCTGATCTACTTAGTGAGGAGCTGAAAAGAAAAGAAAGCAGATTATCTTAACTCACCTGTGATACACTCACACCGGTTGTCTTCTTTTCGCTGCTCAAAGATCACTTTTTGACAGTATCATAGTATTTCAATTAATCTGTCAACTCTTCAATATTTGTGTTTCTTTTAGTTATGGTCACTTATTTAAAATAAATTGGTTAAGACCAGTTTATTAGACAGTTGGAAAACGTACCTTCATATACTTGAACTTCTCAGTCGCTATATAATTAAGCATGGGTTGAGTGAGTAGTTCAAGTATTTTGATGTCAATGTTTTCCTGAATTGTCACATCATTTGTGAAGCATCTAAAGACCAAGCAAATCGAATCAACTAATATACTGTTGGATTTTCATAAATACTCCAACATTTCAAAAAATGCTTACCAAGTTTGTAAGAATGCACTCTTTTGTTATTTGGCTTTACTCAATAAACTCTACAACATGGACTTTTTTTTCTTTTAACAGCCGTTATCTGCAAAACGTTTTATAAATATTGAAATATAATGACTGCTGCTAACTCCAGTCCTGTTGTTTCCACTCTCTGCCTGCAGCTGCAGCAGCATGAGGAGTCCATCGAGGAGGTGATCAAAGACACAGAGTGCATGTTCAGATCCAGAGAGAAGGAATACCAGGAGACCATCGACCAGATAGAGGCGAGTCTGTTTCCATGCATTCTGTGTATTACGTTACATTGTGAGGATTCACCTCTCATACTGGGTCTAAAGACTGGTTTCCATAATGTTTTATTATTGGAACTGACGTATTCATGTTTTTATTAGAAGATTAGAGTTAACATTTTGTTTGGACGGTTGTTGGGTTTACCATTTAAATTTGTTTCTCTCTGTCATTTTGGCATGTTGATGTTGAAATCATTACCTGTCAACCACAATTGAGGAAGAATTTAAAATGTAATGTATTTTATCTGCAAACTGTGTCTGTGCAAGAATCCCAATTTTAAACCCATGATAGGATGTTTCCAGCTGATATGCACCTTGGAAGCCATAGTTACCATCCACACTTTTATCCTTGTCTTTTCCAATCAAAGATCCAGATATTTTCCAACACATTTCTTAATCTTTAGCACTGATAATTCCACTGAAGAGTTTCAGGATGAATGTCATTTAAGTTATGTCATTGCTCCAACTGCGACTCACGTTACAATTTCTTATGGGAAAAATTACTGGCTTTCACTTCCAGAAACAGAGGAGCAAAAATAGCTTCTCCCATTTCACAACATAAAATAGTATTAATGCTGAGTGTCTAGTGTCAGTCATAGAAATGTAACTCTGGTTTTGTTTCCCCTCCTGTTCAGCTGGAGCTGGCTACAGCTAAGAGCGACATGAACCTCCACCTGCATGAGTACATGGAGATGTGCTCCATGAAGAGAGGCCTGGACGTCCAGATGGAGACCTGCAGGAGACTCATCACACAGAGCGGAGACGGGTTTGTTTTATATAACTTCCTTATCAATAAACAACACTTCAGTTCATCATGCTTCTAGTTAATAAGAAAAGTAGCCTACTGAGCTTATTATCAATACATGGTGTCAGGTCCATACCACACAACCTTCTCCAGGAACACCCAAGTAAACAATACAACTTGCTGTTGTGTCACGTCGGCCGGACGTCGACAATGACGATATAGGAGCGAAAAATCCAGATCTGCTTGTTAGCACCCCCCCCCCTTTTTTTTTTTTAGAGGTGTGGAGGAAAAGAGAGAGGGTTTTGTTTTCTGACACTTTGTGAGTACCCCGACACACCGGGGAAACATATTTAGTTATAAAAGACATAAAAAAGTGCATTTTGCATGATAGGTCCCCTTTAACAAAATGTGTACACAACACAGTACACAACATTAAAGTTTTATAAATAGGTAGGTTGTATTGTTTACCTTTGTTATGGGTGAAGGTCATGTTACCTATTTAAACTAATGAGCAGTCCATCATCAAGATGATTGTAAAAGGCCAAAATACATAAACAATGTAGTGTTTGACCTGAAAAAGCAAAGGTAAATTATTCAGTGTGGATTCAATGTTGAGGAAACATTTATGCTGCAGACAAAAACTAGAGTTCAGACACTCTTCTCCCTCTGCAGGAAGTCGCCCTCGCTCATGCCCCTGACGGTGGACGACTCCGACAGCGAGGAGAAGAAGATACCCGCCCTCCCCGGCGAGTCTGAGACGAGCAAACCTTACTGCAATGCTGCCACCCCCCTCCTCACCTGGAGGAAACCCTGAAACACACACACACACACACACACACACACACACACACACACACACACACACACACACACACACACACACACACACACACACACACACACACACACACACACACATACTGCTGGTAAATAATCACTCCAAATCTCTTTTCTTCATTCAGTGCCGAGTTTAAATTGTGGTTGTTTTCACTCACCATGAAACTTCCACACACCTAAAGTGATTAGGTGTACATCTGCTGCTTTAAAACCAGCTGATGTCAAATGTTCTCTTTGAAAGCATCCAGTCTGATGTTTGCTCATTTTCACTTGCCGCCAGCCTGAGCAGGAAAATTAAAACAAAGAAAGAAAACCGAATGTGCTTGCAACACTTTTACCTTATGGTAGAATATAGAAAGATTTGAGCTTCATAAAAAAAGCAAAAAACAATTCTCTTGATGTCCCACTGCTGCCCTCCCATGGCTATCAGCTGTAACTGCACCTCAGTGAAGGTCAAACAGAACAAAATGGCACTTAGACATTTTTTTACTGGTTCTGTTTGTTGAATAAAAGGACCATTTTTATTTTGCACAATGACCTTGATATATCTGATTGTTTGCACAGTTTCTGTTCTCATTTATTTCAGCTGCAGGCGCACAGAGAGGCAGCGACGCACAATAAGTAGTTTGCACACTAATGCTCTTTGAAAAGTTTTACTTACTATTTACTATCAAGAAATGCTTTTTCTTACCGTGTGATTTTATTTCATTGTATGTCATTCTGTCATCTGCAAGTATAGCAGAGGTTTCGATCCTTAAATGTGACCCAATTGCCACTTTTCTGGGATATTACTGAACGTTAAGTTAGGATCTAAATTAGAGAATCCTGTTTGACAGATGTTGAACAATCAAAGCCTTTCTTGCCTTAAACTGATTCCCCACATTTTAGAAGTATCACCCCTTCTCTGCACTAAAGTGAAAGTTATTCAGGAACACTGTCCAGAAAAGGCATCATTAAGCAATTCATCTTTTTATTAATTAGTAATTATTTTAAAAGTGCATATTTGCGAACTCCACCTCAGATTTCTGAATGTGAAATAGACATTCACGATAATAAAGTAGCTGCTTAGAAAGCTTTAAATAGAGTGTCGGCCATATATGAGGCTTTCCTCTGTTATGACAGAAGTTGAAGTAGTTTTCTTATATTTTGCCCGGTGAACATTTTGCATTGTATTTTATGTCTGCATCTGCCAGTGGGCCATCACGATTACAGTAGGCATATTAATATTAAATTCCTCAACAGAAGCTTGATAATTAGGTGGAAAAAATATCTGCCTATATTGGATATCGGCAACGTCCAATGTCAAGCATTCCTAATTTCAAACAATGATTTATTTGAGGAGATTTTTAGATAATGTTTCTTTAGATCCATCACAAAAACTCTTTAAGCCTAATCTAATAGTTTATCTTAGATTTTGGGAAGGCAAGTTGTATAAAGGACAGATATAGTATTGTAACTAATGTTTAATTTGATTTATTAATCCTGCAATTACTTTCTAGAGAATGTCAAATAGGAAGAGTAAAAATGACTTGATAGCCAAAAGCTTATTATCTTCAGTTTACCACCACAGAAGACTCAAACAAGCAAATATTCATACTTGAGGGTCTGGAACCGGTGAAATGTGGGGCATTGTTGCTTTAAAATAATTACAAGCAATTCAAAATGCTTAGAAATTATTTTCTGTCAATTGATTAAACAACTAATTGTTTCAGTTCTGACAGATCAACCTATAATTAATATGCTAATGGCATGTGTAAAGAAAGCATTACTCTTGAAACTCCTATGTAATATGTTATGATGTGATACTATTTAAAGTTGTTTGGCAACAACAGAAATCTAAAGGGCATTTTAATCTTTAATTTTACAAAAGTTAAAACCTATTTTAAGAATTTACAGTTTGTAAAGGATAAATAATACTGTAACTAATGTATATAACAGGGCTGTGTATAATGCTTGTAAGCTTCATGTTCTATAATGTAAATTAAGCAAAGCTCAATGCAAATAAGCATTGTATTTATACCTTTCATTTAATATTTACATCGCTATTACTCTCAACTAATGTAGACGTATTTAGGTATCATATCAGTTCATTGAGTACAATTTGAAAAGGGTTGTCTTTGTGGTTTCAGAGCGAATGCACCTGCAACAATGATACAAAGTGAATTTAAGCTGAGTTTCCCAGTTTCCTGTGAGTTTATGAGTGTAAATACGCAGAGGAAAGAAGCCATTTTGCTGGAGGTGTTTTGAGAAATAAGGAATATATTTTCAATAGCTTGTGCCTGCTTTTCTGTCTTTGTTGATATGAGTGTTCCAACGTTCCTCCCTTCAAACACTGAAACATGTTTCATCCAATGAATGTCTGCTTAGTTAATAACCTGCCATGTTCACCTGGTAAACAGATCAAATAAATGGACTTCAATGTAAAATAATTCCTTTTATGTCAAGGGAAAGCAAAGCTAAGGCAAGTGAACACTTAAAGCGAAGCAAACATCACCCACCTCATGAAACTGTGTAAGTGCTGCTTTAACTGAACTGTTCTATACTATCTGAATGTAAATAACATCTGAAAACTGAAATAAATCAAATTGTGTCAAAGATTTAAAGGCCTCATGAAACATACACGGCAGGACGCAATACATTGTAATGCATTTGAGCAAAGCACGATGAACACTGCTGTAATAACCATATTGTTGTCAAAATACTGTATAATGTGCAGATTGGATCGCCTTCTCTCTTCACAACTCAAACAACATATTCTTTTTTAATCAGGTCTTTAATGTTTTCTTTCTGTCACGAGACTGAATGTTTGATCAATTTAATGAAATATTGCACAGAATAAAAAACATTGAAAGAGAGTGTTTGAATGATTAACTCAATGAAGACTATAAAATGTACTATTTGTCCTGGGTTGGTTACTTGATCCTTACATTGGATCTACATTTCCTTTACAGACTAAAATGTTACATGTATAAAATACCTTGAGAATAACTCAGTTCTGTCTCATTACCTGTCTAACAATTGAACAAATGTATTTTTATGTCATGCTTATTTCTTTGAAATACTATACTTTCACATAATGTTATTTTAATAGCATAAAACATATTTTGTGTGACTATTTATTGCATAAAAACCTTTTATTGCATACACTGAAATACTTTAAATATGTTTGTGACATAATAGAACATTCTGATTAACTACATACAAAACTTCTTATGTCGTTTTTCATGATATTTACAACATACTATACTACGTCGTTTTTTATGACATTTCTCGACATAGGGGTATTCAATTAAAATTCATCGAGGTCCAGTTCGAGAACATTTCCTCAAGCAAAGGTCTGGAACATCATAATGTATAGATATATTTGAAAATAAAAGAAAATCGACATATACATGCACACACAGTGACATTTGACCAGGAGGTGAACTGAGTAGCAGTCTACACTCCATATTAAGGTCTGTTCGGAGACTTGAACCAGCTCCCAGTCCAAGCCCCTATGACTGAACCACTGCTGGACACATAGTAGTTTTGTCGAAAATATCAGAGAAAAAAAGACATAGTATGATGAAAACATTCATAAAAACGAAATAGTACGTTAAAAAAAATCAGACAAAAAGGACATAATATAGTATGTCGAAAAAATTAATAAAATACATTATAGTTTGTTGAAATTTTTTTTTAAAAGACATGGTATAGTATGTCGCAAATATGTTTTTTAAAAAGGGATAGTATAGTATGTCAAAAATAAATAAAAAAAAGACATAGTATAGTCAAAAATATAAAGAAAACGACATAGTATGTTGAAAATATTTTTTTAAAAGGCAGAGTACTGCATGTCGAAAACATCAGAAAAAACGACATAGTAAAGTATGCTGAAAAAAAATTACATAGTACAATATTTTGAAAATATAAAGTATAGTATTTTGAAAATATAAAGTATAGTATTTTGAAAATATAACACTATACTATATTGTCTTTTGGGATATTTTCGACATAAAATACTACGTCGTCTTTCTTTATTTTCGACATACTATGTCGTTTTTTCTCATATTTTTTTTGGCATAGCCTACTATGTCGTCTCATGGGATATTTTCGACATGCTATAAAATGTCGTTTTTCATGATATTTTCGACAAAGTATGTAGAAGTAAGATATTTTCAACATACTATGTCGATTTTTTTTTTTCAATATATTATACTATATCGTTTTTTCTGATATTTTCGACATAATATCCTGTGCCTTTTTTAAATATTTTTTCTACATACTACACCATGCTTTTCCCCCCCACATACTACAATATGTAGTGTTTTCTGATATTATCGACAAATTACAACATTTTGCAAATGTTTAAGATACTTTTCAATGTGTTTTTACTGCATATTTACAAACATACTACACCAGAGGTGCCCAGTTCGTCGATTCGTTGGTGACGTCATCACGTGTGTTTTACGCGCCGTTAAGCTCCAACGTTATTGGTCTTTTTATCGGTACAGGAGACATTTAAAAAAATATGTCATATGTATTATTGCTACAAAAACATTATATCGCAGTCTTAGTGTCGCCAACTCTTTTCTAATATGCAAAAAGACAAACAAATGCGTCTATGATGTATTTTCGATCAGACGAGATCTCTCTCCCCCGTCTGTGTGCGAGGGGGCGGGGCAGTTTACACACACGCAGCTGCTACATGCAGCAACACACTGCGGAGATGGCGGAGAGAACGCGCTCCGAGGTGTGGTTAAATGTTACCAGTCTCGATGTGGACAATGCTCGTTGCCTAAAGTGCAATAAGAGTTTAGCATGTCAGGGCGGTAACACGAGCAATTTGTCTAAACATTTAGCAAAAGTGCACCACATTCAGACGGAGGAATGCACCGGGTTCGACTGTCTTTCTAGTTGCTCTGTAGCCCCATCCACGAGTAACTTTTCCACGTCAGGTGTTATGTATGCTAGCAGCAACACATGGAGTTAACTCAATTATACAAACATGGGTTAATGATAAGAGGTAACTGAGTTATTTATTTTGTTAAAGTTTCAGCTATTCTGTTTACAGTTCTGTCATCAGATTATTTAATACAAATTGTTAAAGCATTGTTGTTTCTTTTGATGTGAAATATTATTTATTTAATTAATAAAAAGCTATGTTAATTTTGTTCACAATGTGTTTAGTTAATTTAATAATATATGTATTTTTGAATCAAGTATTCATCTTTATTGTCTTCATTGTTAGTTTCCACATGCCTAAAACAACCTCAAGCTAAATCTAAATAAGAGCGTTTGAGAAATTGTGCAAGGCATACAGTAGCAATAGTCGATTAATCGTTTCATTAATCGATAGATTAATCGATTATCAAATTAGTCGTTTGTTGCAGCCCTAATGTAGACTGAGGCATCTGCCAATTTTTACAAATCTCTTCTACATTTTAACTTTTTTCTAGAGATTGTCAGAAGACCCACTGGCTCCATCACAAGGGTCTGTGTCGCCCCAACACAGAGAACGTGGGCCTGCCCTTCCTGATCAGCGTGCCAGAGTCCCGCCTCTCCTACGCCCGCCTCACCCAACTGCTGGAGGGCTACACCAGGTACACTACTTTTTAGATTACAAAATAAATTGCATGTTACAACTACTCGTATTCAACAGGGATTCATAAATATCGTTGTCCCTGTCATTTAAAGATCTCTGCAAGGAATCACCCACTTTAAAAATGCAGTCCGCTGTCAGTTAATGTTGATCTTCTCTGTGCAGGTTTTCCGTCAACGTGTTCCAGCCTCCTTTCCAGTCAGACAGGACATCCCCCGAAACAACCCAGTCCCGCACTGACCTCCCCCCAATGCCAGCAGACTCTCCTGAGGGCCCTGGGTCCGGGGATGAGGCTGTGGGTGGCAGTAGTGTAGGAGAAGCTGATCAGGATCTGGAGAGCCCCCCCCTGCTGCCTGAGGCCCAAGCAGAGTCCGCTCAGGCCTCAACGCTCCTCTCCGGGCACTCCCTGTCCACCACACGGACTGCAGACTCAGGATTCTCTGAGCCGATCTCCTCTGCTTCCTGCTGCTCTCTGGACCATCTTGCAGAGAAAGAGACGTCTTGTGAGAAAGCAGTGCGCCCGGAAGGTAATAATAAAGCTTAACATTAACTCAGAACCCCAAGCAGTGTTTTGTTCCTGTCACATTAAGTTATTCACCTCTATGGATCATAGCTGGGATTAGGGAGGACTCAAGTTTATGTTGTGTACTATAACACACCACCAAAATCATAAAGTGCTTGTTGAATCTTGCTGGTTATTCATTTTCCAAAAGTAGGCAAGAGTGGGTATATAAAAAAACAAGTATCCACAAGTGTTGCAAATATTGGAAAAAAACGGTCAATCTCCGCCGAGTCATTCAAAGCTTATGAATTGAACTAAGCAACGTAGAATGTTTGCTTTGTACAGGATATTGATATTACAAACCAAAACCTTGAATTAGACATGTTGAATACATGTTGAAATATGACTATTTAAAGCTAACATTTGGTTAGGCCCAGATATTGTCAGGCTCTGGGTACAGATTATTCAGTCAATTGGCAATTTGAGAATTTGATCATTTATTTTGTTTAAAGTTTCTGGCTATGATTAATGTTGTAATCAAACATGCTTTGATACCTGCCAATCTGGAGGTGTTTTTATATGCCATTTTCTTAATGTCTTTCATTTTTGTAAAGCACTTGAAATTGCCTTGTGATGAAAGATGCTATCTAAATAAACTTACCTTGCCCTGCCTTAACAAAGGGGTTACATTGTTCAGATATTTGTTTAAATATTTATATAGATCATTTGCTTTCTCTACATCCCTTTAGTCCTCAATCTTGTCATTTGTTTACAGCTGCAGTAACAGGCTATCAGCAGCCAAGTGAATCAGCATCGGGTCACGCCAGTCAGTTCTACATCGCTGTGCTGGACTACAACAACAAGGAACAGAGGCTGGATGAAAGAGGTACACCCAGAATGTCCTTAAGTACTGATATTCAGTTGGATTCTTAGTAACCCTATTCTCATGTATGTTTTTGTCGTGATTTGCGGAATTATAGTTACTCCATAGTAATGTTTTAAGACCGTAGTTTCTGGTGTACTACACAGAGTTCCCGTTAGAATATTTTTTCGCCGGTCAACATGTCCGTTAAAGTTTAAATCTTCCGGACAACATTTGAAAAGTGCCGGTCAAAGGTCTTCTTTGTTATTTATTGAACAAATTGATATGATTCGATATTAAACAAACTAATTATAGTAAATTAACTATTCAAAAGTGTACAGTAATTTACAATAACACAGGAATAATAAACGGAGTGCTCTCTTTCTCTCCTGACAGCCCGTCAGTATCATGCAGCTCTCGGATCAGTAATGAGTGACCCGACAGTAAAACTAAACATATCTGTAACTATTTACGGTAGTTTGAGAGGTAATTAAAATAGCTACGTGTGATATTCTAACCTGAAGTGTGTGTTTTGTTCCGCTCACCACTGCATGTGATTATGCAGAGCTGCGTGTCGGCTCGTCTCGTTTTTCAATAACTTTTGGAAATAAATAAATACATACCGGTAAATAAGTATAGAAACCAGGTCGAATTTGTCAAATGTATTGAACTGGTGATCACAGTTTGACAGCTATAGGCCTACAGCTTTCATGTGCGGAGGCGATTCACAATCAGGCCAGCTGTAGAGAAGACCCTCTCAGCTGGAACGGAGGTCGCGGGTATAGCATGGTATAGCATGTACAGTGGGGCAAAAAAGTATTTAGTCAGCCACCAATTGTGCAAATTCTCCCACTTAAAAAGATGAGAGGCCTGTAATTTTCATCCTAGGTATACCTCAACTATGAGAGACAAAATGAGAAAAAAAAATCCAGAAAATCACATTGTCTGATTTTTAAAGACTTTATTTGCAAATTATTGTGGAAAATAAGTATTTGGTCACCTACAAACAAACAAGATTTCTGGCTCTCACAGACCTGTAACTTCTTCTTTAAGAGCCTCCTCTGTCCTCCACTTGTTAACCGTATTAATGGCACCTGTTTGAACTCGTTATCAGTATAAAAGACACCTGTCCATAACCTCAAACAGTCACACTCCAAACTCCACTATGGCCAAGACCAAAGAGCTGTCAAAGGA